ACGAACGAATATATGCAATGTCTGTGTGGTATGGCCGTTTGGACAATTGGACTTTGTGTACTTGAAGTAATCTTTTTAGTTTTAAAATTTTAATGTGTTCAGTGTTCCCATCATCTGTTGGTTTAATTAATGAAGCATGATTAAATTTGAGCTCCTAGTTTCTCTTAAAGTCTTGAGTTTTAGGTTATATTCGTTTGCTGGTGGATTTTAATTGAAGTAATAGTCTACAACTAAATTTTTTCATGATAAAAGAATGGCCAAGTTTGGCCCCGTTTACTTGCAACTTAATGAACTGAATTGAATGGACGACTTAATCGTGCAGCTATACAACCTTGTTTACTTATGACTTGACCACAAAAGTGACTTATTCGGTCAGATCGTTTGTGACTTATTCGCTCAGCCAGAATTGAGCACTCCTTCTGCTTCAGACATAGCCGCACAGTAGCGGGCCGGGCCGGTCCCGGGACGGGCGGTCCGAACCGGGTCCATGACTAGTTTAGAATTCCGTTTGTTTTTGTTTTTTTCTACATAACCTTTTCTTTTGGTTTCGATTTCACTTATATGGCCATTTCGTTTGTGCTTATGGAAAATATTGAATTATTTATTATTGACTATGTTAACTATGGACAGAACATGTTTGATGAAATGTGCAATTTTTTCAAAGAGAAACATTCAAGTAAAAATCTGCATTTTAAATGAAAAACTGCAATTTTGGAGAATGAACTGAAATTGTTTGTCTTTGGTTCCATATTCATTATTCACTTAATCTGCAATTTTTCGACTTTGGTTCCTTATTCAGTTTGATTATGGTTTTTTTTATTGCGAGTGATGAACTGAAATTGTTAGATGATATGTTCCTGGCACTCCCAAAGTCTTAGCCTAATAAGAGAATTGTTGGAGTAAACATCTACCATTTTTCTTCTCTCCCCATTAAATTAAGTCATAGCCAAAAAGGGGAAAATGATTAAAGAGAATTTTTATATGACTGCAATTTTGCCTCTCTTGCACTTACTATGGGTTGGTTCGATGTTCTGTTAGATTTTGTTTGCTTTATCATAAACATTTTCTTCTTCTGTTCCATATTCATTTTGATTCTGTTTTTCTTTCATAACCTTTTGTTTTGTTTACTCATTCTTATTAATCCGGTATATTTTTGTGAATTTTACCTGTTGCTAATAAATGTTCACTGTTGTTAAACAACCTACCTAAAAACTTCGTCTGTGGCCCACAAGATCTTAAATTGAAGCTTCTGATGTGTTCTATCAACTCATATCGCTTTGGTCTCATTATGGAGTCCCACGCTGTGGAAACGTGGATCCCAGAACTTACGGGACAAACTGACAGTTTTCATGTATACGACTTACTATTTTATTTATTGGACTACAAGTAATTATTTAAAGTTCTTAAGTTACGACTTACTATTTTATTTATTGGACTACAAGTAATTATTTAAAGTTCTTAAGTTAAATCGTGAGCCACATATATAAGGTTTTTAAACATTATGTTACAACATCTTTTGATAAAAAAAAGCTAGATTCCAATGTTTGCTGGATTCCAATTTTCTTTGACTAAACCGATCCATGGTATGCTCTAAAGTTACCTTTTATCTTCATTTGCATTGGTGTGCTTTGTTTTCTTGGTCTATTTACCAAAGAAAAGAGAACTTCTTAACAATAAGAGATAAAATGCAATATGTGGCTAGATTTTATTTTTTTTATCCGGCAAAGATTTCTTAACACATTAATAAAAGAGAAGAGAACTTCATTTGACACGGGTCATGTTCAAGCTGTTTTATTTTTAAAAAATCTAATTGTCTATAATCATGATGGGCATTTACATTTCTTGAAAAAGTTAAATTTAGTTGCAGCTATAAACTGCATTTTTAACCTATGTCTAATGCCTAACTAATTTTGAAAATTTGATATTACGTAGTATATGCTAATTGTTTGATATCTTTGTTTGTGTAGATATCTTTTAAAGAACACATCGGTGTTCTTTGTTTTCTTGGTCTATTTACCAAACAACATAGTGATAACAATAAGAGATAAAATGTAATATGTGGCTAGATTCATTTTTTGCTTCTCCTATAAAGATTTTTAAAAAAATCTAATTGTCCATATTCATGATGGGGATTTACATTTCTTGAAAAATTATATTTAGTTTCAATTATATATAACTGCATTTTTAAGTTTTAACCTATTTCTAATGATTGACTAAATTTGAAATTTTGGTGTTACATGCTAATTGTTTGATATATTTGTCCGTGTAAATAATTTACAGATATTTTTGTCAGCTTTATCTTTAAGAGGTATCTATTGGAGCTTCTATATATGTATGTCATCATCCATTCATCATTTTCATTTTCATTTACCCCAGTGTGACAAAGGCTCCCACCTACGGTGGGGTAAGAGGGGGTGGGGTCGGATGTACGCAGTCTTACCCATGTACAAGCACAGAGAGACTGTTTCCGGATGACCCATAGTGAAAATCGCGTCCAAAATTGCATGGACTGACTGCTGCTTCATAACAAAGAAGCGCAGACAGTTTAGTGAGCCATTTTGCTTTATTCTATTATATTCTCAAGCCAAAAATAATGAATCTTTGGCTCCATTGCAAAAATATGTCATCATCCATTGCTTAAACTTATTATGTACTTGCCTCACCACTCTTTTTTGGACTAGATATTCACATTGCTTTGTAGCTGAATTTGAAAATAGTAATCACTTCCATACCTTATTTTGTGGATAAACGGTTAAGATAATAGATTGTTTAAAATGCAGCTTATCATATTCCTAAACTTGACATTAATTATTTTGAGTACATACTTTTAACATATATTAAGAGGCAACAAATATTTTTTAACATATATTCGTTTCTTAATTCTTCTTTTGATTACATACTTTTAACATATATTAAGAGGCAGAAAATATGTGTTCAATATTTGCTCAAATTTAACATACTTTTGACATCAATATATTGATATTGATATACGTTTGCATCCATACTTGCACCTTCAACTGGAATATTTGTTGACATCTTTTCACTTGATAAAGGTCATATTTAGTGTAACAATCTAAGCTTTGTAGTAGTGTGTCATGATGGTGTACTAAGTTTTTCTTTTTTTATTGGTGTACTAAGTTTCTCTATTACTACTATGGCATTGGAAAGGAACAGAGGTCTCAGGTTTAAAACAGTTCGTTGCAAGTTTTCTCTACATGTTCGGAAGTTGAACTTCTTCTCCTCTACATGTTCGGAGTTGATTAGAGTATTAGTTTGGAAAAACTGCTCACCCTCGCTCTCTGCGTCAAACTTCTTTTGCTGATTGAAAAGGCGTTGGTGGTGCTATACTCCGCGATGGATGTGAAAATTTTATCTCTGCACTTTCGTTTCCTCTGGCGGTGGGGTCTGTTCTTCAGGTAGAAGCTTGGACAGTGCTAGAAGCTCTGAAATGGTGTCAAAGGATGAGATATGAGACGGTCCAGATTGAAATTAAACCAATTCGGAGACATTATGCAAAGCTCTCAAAAAATCTACTTCAGCACCCTATCTGGATGAAATCAACTGGGTAATTGCTATTCTACAGGCAATTGTCGTACATTGTTACAGAGAAATTAATACAGTTGCTCACCTTCTTGCTCAGGAAGCCTTTCAATCGGGCACACATACTGACATACAGTTTTTTCTTCACCAGATTAGTTTTCACGCATCTACTCCTTGATGCTGTTTCGACTCCTGCCAACCTTTTTTAATGTTGTTATCTCTTTTATTTCTTTCATGCTTTTGCCCTCATAATTGATTAGAGTTCAGACGCCATTGAAATCCGCTGCAGTTATCAAATTCTTCACACCCATTTTAAATTTTTTATTCTCATTTCCTTTCAACTTTTTATTCCGCTTTTGCTCGTGGGGGGAGAGGCTATATATTCTTTGTCAAAGATTATAGGACAGTTGAGAAGATAAAATTTGTTGTTCAATTATTGTCTTCTTGAGCTAAGATTTTCTAATGCATATAAGATAATTTTGATATATTTAGGCTCGCACTATACTCAACATAATCTAATTTTCTTTTTCATAATACTATTATGTATACTTTAGGAATTTTAGTGTAGTTCCTCTTACATATATACATTGATTTTAACCTATGTATGTTTTCTATTTAATGTATATATTTAAATATTGCAGTTTTGGTAAAAATAAACAATAGTGTGGGTTCAAGAAATGGTGCATCGTAGGGGTGTAAAAAATTGCTCTAAAAGCTCATTAAGTACAATTTTTCTTAGTAGAGTAACTATTAAAATTTATGCAAAAAATGAAATGTTGAAATTTTATTTCATGTATTCCATCCCATATTAACAATTCATGTAACTCTCGTGTGTTTTATTGTTAGTAACTCCTAAGTAATTTAGAGTTACTAATTAAATATGAGTAAAGGCTTAATTTGTAAGTGAACTTATATTTAGTAATATCAAATCACTCTATAATTAGTCTATTATCCCGTGCAAAAGATAATTCAGCTAATCTGATTAGATGAGAACTTGAGATCTAGTGGTTGCTTGGTTGTCTTATCATTTTATTTATCAGCATTATTAGTTTCCCGCATCTTTTCTAGTTTTCTCTCTGGCCACTAAGCTAAGGTTCAATGAAAATTGGCACCAAGTCCCAATGGTCTCAGAGAGTGTTTGCAACAGCTTCTGCTTTAAAAAAAGCACTTTTGGAGTGATTTGGAAAAAGTGATTATTTGTAAAAGTTGATAGTGTTTGAGAAAAAAGTGATTTTGAAAAGTAAAAGTTGTAGTGTTTGGTAAAATAAGTGTTTTTGGTGTATAAAAAGTGGAAAAGCACTTTTGACACGAAAGCCGAGAAAAATAAAAAATTGGTAGTGTTTGGTAAATAAGTGCTTTTTTAAGCCAAAAGCTGAGAAGTGCTTTTTTTAAAGTGGTTGCAAACCAGCCTTGAGTCTCTCATATGACCTTTTTCCTAGCACGTTAATGTGCAATTGTGACGAATGACAAAAGCTAAAAAAGACATAACATGAGATCATTATTTGGCAAATATTTCAGCATCTTTCATATTTATCTAAGACGCAAACCAAGAAAACCGATCATCTCATCAAATATAATCAATAAACAAAAACATAAAAAACACAGATTTCAGTATCCTACATTTCTAAGGAACACTTAATCGGTGAAGTTAGGGATGGTGGACCCAGGCTCACAAGCAATGGCAGCCGGAGTTGGTTCAACGGTGGAGAACGGCGGAAGAGCGGTGCAGCAAAGCTCCGATGGCAAATCCGCAACTCTTCCCTTCAAATAGAAAGTGTAAAATCTCTTGGAGGGGAAAGCAAGCTGCTCTACTTTCACTTTGCCCGTCACACCAAGGAATATACCGGAGCCACCGGTGACGGCGAGGTAGCTGTCCTCATACGTAAGGTACGGCCCCTGTACGGAAATTTGGCCGTAATCTCCGAAATAGAAACTGAAAACGGCCTCGTAACGGTCTCCGTTATTTTCCTCATCGTGAGAGATCACAAAGCATATACCGTTTGTGATTCCCAACCGCGTTTGCATGTCACCGCTGTACAACTGCACAACCCATGGGACGATGTTATTTAGATATATCAAAAATTAAAAATGTTGAAGTACTTTCTTAAATTGCATACTTTAAAAATATAACCTAATCCTAAGTTTGTATAATCTTGTGGCAATAATTCAAAATATTCTTTTTTAAGATACAAATTTATTTACCTATTGTACAAATATCAAGGTACAAATCATGAATAACACGAAACTACACTCCATAGAAAGCCTCAATTTGTAGTTTTGTCTAAGAACCTTTCTACATATACTAATACAATGATAGTCTAATTAAATCGAAGAAATAAATAAAAGCATGAAGTCCGAGGAATATAATGTATAGTGCACCAAACCATAGTGAGCTAAATGTATAAACAGATCAATAGAATAGAACATGAAAAGAAAAACAGGGAAATGAAATAAAAACAAAAAAGTTTCATGCATAAATAATATAGACCTTATTGGTGAACGAAACGATGTCACCTAGAGAATTGACTTTATTGAACATAAGCCGGAGATATGCAGGGCTGTTGCGATCATTCTCATCAATCTCATAAACACTAAACTCTTGAACTTTGCCTGCATTTATTTTTAATTTGTAAATTAATGTTACACACAACAAAAGGATACATAAAAATAATAATTGCTCTAAATAGGACTAAATTTAATCAAAATGCACAATAAGAATGTGTTTATTATTATTGTTCTCTAATAAAACTCCAGATTACAATTATACCCTCTTATAAGAACACCAACAACAATAAGATAACAATCAAACTGAAAAATATTCAAACCATTTGAGTGCAGATTGGATTTGCGGAATTGAGTCCTATTGAAGGCAAGCGATCCTTTGGTGTTTGCTGCAGAGGCAATAGCACGGCAAGTAATAATATTAGGTAATTGACGTAAAATAACGGTTCTGTTTGTGGCAAAAGGTTGGAATATTGGTAGCTTAACTCCAGAAGAATTGGAAGGAATAGTAAGGAGAGGGTAATGAGAAGAAGCCAGAGCCATAACTGAAATAGTGTGGATTATAATGATGCATAAAGAATATATAATGGCATATATATGCATGTGAATTTTGAGTTGGATAATTAATAAAAGAGACAACTAATAAGTCTCTTTGACTGCATATTTTGAGATTTGTTTAGTATTCCGATGTTACATGAATGTTATGATATTTTTTTTTATGTATATTGTTGTTTAGTATTCCAAATTTGAATGGGTTTGGCGGGAGTTCCTCTTACAAATTTAAAACGAACCAACAATTAAATGATGATACGTAGTAATGTATTCGAAAGGAGCATGAATACGTTCACTTTTATCGAGCCTCATGAAAGGAGCATGAATACGTTGAGCATGAAGGATAATTAAATGTGGGTGCATCCATTTTAAATGGGTTATATTGGAGGAATGATTATCAAATAAAAATTATACTGCGTTTTGGTTATAGTTTTTGAGTTTGGAATTGTTATTTTTAATGTATATTAAGATTTCGTTTAATTTTTTAGTTTGGCTTGGTTGTATTCGGGTTTTCAATTTTTCATGATTTCGGTTCGGTTTAGTACCATTTGAAAGAAATACAGTAATACTAACCAAATCATGCTGAATTATACGGAGTATATAAATTTGATTTTGGTTTGAGCTAGTTTAGTTCACTTTGATACAACTCATTCGGTCAAACCCAACCCAATGCCCACCTTTTATGGATAGAGGAGTGTCGATCCTACCTAAACATGGGCCTGAATTGAGCTTCATAAATGAGCCATACACATAACATTTCTTTGTCACATGGATTCATTAAAATTTAATGATTAAATATCACAAAAATGTCATTCTTTAATTGAGGCATTACATTAAACTACATCCGTCTCCCTAATATTGGACGGAAGGGAGTGGTGTGGCTTTTAAGAAAGTGAAATTATGTGGTTGATAATGAGTTGATAAAGTAAGAATAAAGTAAGATTGAATTAGAGACACAAATATTAACAAATATGGTATGGGACAAAATTAGTGGGAAGGACGGAGTGAGTAATAAAATGACATTGAATGTATTAAAAAACTAATTAAGTACAACTCATCGAACATTTTTAGATGTAGATGTATTAATCAAGTCTGCATAATCTATGTTATTAATAAGTTCCGTCTCAATTAATAACACAACTAATTCATTCAACTTTTTTTAAGACATGGTTAAAGATGTATTCCCCGAAGTGATTCTTTTATTCGAAATCAAGTACAACGTACTACCTCCGTCCCGAAAATGTTTGCCATATTCACTTTTCTTGGTTAATGATGGCAAACTTTGGATAATTATTTTAATTACTACATTTGTATATAATTTATAAATTTTATACTTTTATGAAAATATTTTGAGTAAGGAACACTTTGATATAATTTTCATATTCAAAATAATTTTGTATTAAAAAATATCATTGATCAAAGTTGATTATCATTGACCAAGAAAGTCAATTTGGCGAACCTTTCCGGGGCGGAGGGAGTACTTTTAATGCTTCTGGCCTGACTTTGAGTTAATGATTCAATACGAGATTTTATTTCCTCTTTGAAATCAAGACAAGAATTTGTGAGGCATGGTACTAAAAAATAAAAACATACTCCGTACATAAATTTAGTGGAATCCTTAACAACACACACATAAGTAATTTTCTCTATAAAATACAAAGCATGTAATTTAATTAATTGTGAATTGAGAATTCGATAATTGCAATATTGATAACAGTAAATATAAAAAACAAGAATAAATTAGTATTTAAAAAATTTACAAATTAGCTCATCGACATTCACACATGACAAATTAATTATACATCACATTAGCATTTAGCAAATTAATTTAAAGTTAGAAAAAATTTGAAAATACAAACAAATAACTAAATAAGCAAATAAAAAAAACATAGACAGATAGAATTGACAATAGAACATGGAGCCTATAGGCCCAGGCAAACTACATTCAATACTCAGCTCATATTAGGGCTGGACTCGGGCCGGGCGGCCCGACCCGGGACCGAACCGGCCCAGTCACTGTTTGGCCCGGCCCGGCCCGTGGCCCGGTGGGTCCACCGGTTCGGTTTGGCCCGGCCCGGGTGCTGGGCGGTCCGGGCTCGGGCCCAGGTTTTGGTGAACCGGCCCGGCCGGTTCGGGCCCGGTCCGGGCCGGGTTTTAATTTTTTTTTTTTTTTGAAATTTTTTTAAGTTTTAGGTTGGATTAGGTATTTTGGGCCATTTGAGGTGGTTTGGGATGGTTTGGGGTTGAGGGGGAGGGGTAGGGGATTAAATAGAAGAACAAAAAAAAAAATTAATTGGGCCGGTTCGGCCCGGCCCGGCCCGGCCCGGTTTGGCCCGGAACCGGAACCGGAACCGGCCACCGGCGGTTCGGGCTCGGGCCTCCCCTTTCCTGGCCCGAGGCCCGGCCGAGCCCAGGCCCGAACCGGGCCCGAACCGGCCCGAGTCCAGCCCTAGCTCATATTAACACATTCTATAGGCAAAAGGAAAAAATTAATTGGTTAAAGGATGGAAATGCAAATACAAAATATTTTCATCTCTCCCTTAAAGCCAAACATAATAGGCTCAAGATATCAAGAATTAAGCTTGACAATGGCAATTGGATTGATAAGGAGGATGATATTAGTAATTTTGCTATTGCGTACTGATGAAAACGGTTAGCAACACAAGAGGGGGGGGGTGAATTGTGTGTGTGTGTGGAACCGTGGCAGTTTTTCGCCGAGTTCTAGTGTGGGATAAAGGGAATTGCGAAAATAGTAAAGTGCACAAGAATTTAACGAGGAAAAATCCCTTGGCTCAAAGGGATTGAAAAACCTCGACCTCCCTCGGAGGAATTTTAAACAACTTCACTAAACAAGCCTTTGAAAGAGTTACAAGAGTGATTCTCCTAATCTACCCTTGAGCCTCCCCAACTCTATCCTCTCTAGGAAGAGTTATGCATTTCTACCTTGCGGGTAGAGAGCCTCTCAGCTTTATCACAAAGCTCTCACACACACTTAACCCGAGGCAGCTACTCTAGCCAATTAAGCCTCAATATTCCAAGTACAATATGAAAGGGAAAAGAAAAAGTCTGTCTAGAACTCCGAGCGGGCAGTTTCAGGCGCCAAGGACTTGATCTTTTTCTTGAATGATTCTTCTAAGTATTTTTCTCGGTTCAGCACACTACTCTCCTTTTGGTTGCTCGAATATATATATGCTGCTTGGAATGAATCCGTTGGGGCTCTCTTTCCTTGAGTAGATCAATAGGGATTCTTGCCTTGTTTCATTTTGAAAACCTTTCCATCTTTAGAGCAAGATCCACTTCCGTGCATAAGGATTGATTGCTTCAAGAAAAATTACTAGCAAGAGATATTATTTACTTAACATGATTAAGTATGCAACGGTTTACATAAGTAGTCAACATCCCAAGAGATATTTATTTGAATAAGGAAGCACTTGCATTAATATTAAAGCCTACGGTCCACTAATGGCAAGGCAACTTTCCAAGCACTTTGAAAGTATTTCCATACAAATGAGGCAACGGTCATAACTCGTAAGCAAGCAAATTCCAAGTAAAAGAAGTTTCCTTTTTAAAATGATTTGATCATTTAATGGATCTTTCTATAAAAGCAATATTATTTGCCAAAGCCTTTTATAATGATTCTTTACTTAAGGTGCTAATCATGCTACGTAAAAGATTTCATAAAAGATCTTTTATGAATGCTACTTAAGATCTTTTCTAAATTCAAATAATGCCACGTAACTCATGCATGCATAAACTCAAAGCACTCATATGTAAGACCCCGTAATAGTTCTGTCTATGGGTCCTATGAACCCAAATCCAGGGAGACTTGCATGGTTAGATATGGATTAGTTTCATCCCTTGTTCCTGCATGGTTAGTCATCAACAAAACAACATATTCAACAAATTCCCCCTTTTTGTTGATGACAAACATTAGGTGCTAATGTAAAGGTGTCCCTAATTTTTCCCCCTTTTGTCATTCAACAAAAGGAATAAAATTTATGCCCAAAATATCGATTTGTTCCCCCTTAGATGAGGCCAGAAGGTCCTGCATACATTCTTCGCAATTAGTACAAGAGATTAGTTCCAGTGATTCCCATTATTTTAGGAAATAAGAAGTAGAACAAATAATTTAGGAATTAATCAGACCGAGTTCCAGTCTAATTAGTTCAAACCTTTCTCTTCCCAGAGGCTTGGTAAAGATATCAGCTATTTGTTTCTCGGTGTTGCAATATTCCAGCCTGATTATCCCCTTTTCCACGCAATCTCTCAGAAAGTGATGTCGTATATGAATATGTTTTGTCCGAGAATGCATGACCGGGTCCTTTGATATGCTAATTGCACTTGTATTATCGCATAGGATGGGCGTGCACTTTAAATCAACCCCGTAATCGCTTACTTGTTGCATGATCCACAATGATTGAGAGCAACAAGATGCGGCTGCTACATACTCAGCTTCGGCTGTTGAAAGAGCAACTGAATTTTGTTTCTTTGAGCTCCAAGAAACTAGACAGGGACCTAGGAAGTGAGCCGTTCCAGACGTACTCTTTCTATTTAGCAAATCACCTGCAAAATCAGAGTCTGAATATGCAATAAGGTTAAAATCATCATTACGAGGATACCATAGGCATAAATCAGCAGTTCCTTTGAGATATTTGAGGATCCTTTTCACAGCCTTGAGGTGAGATTCTTTGGGATTGGCCTGGAACCGCGCACATAGACCTACGCTGAAAACAATGTCAGGTCTACTGGCAGTGAGGTACAGTAGGGACCCAATCATTCCTCGATACATCTTTTGGTCTATGCTCTTTCCTTGTTCATCCGCATCCAGCCTATCATTTGTTCCCATAGGTGTAGTCATGGTTTTGCCTTCACTCATTCCGTACTTCTTTAGGAGTTCCTTGAGGTACTTTTGTTGAGATATTTGAGTTCCTTTGCTTGATTGCTTGATTTGTAGGCCAAGGAAGAAATTAAGTTCCCCCATCATACTCATCTCAAATTCGGAACTCATAAGATTAGAGAATTCATCACAAAGAG